CGGATTAGCTGTCGTCAGATGGAACGTCCAGAAACAAAAGAGGTGACGGGACCGTGACACAGGTACATGCTGCAATGGCAACATTGTTAACCACGGTCATTGTGGGCACCGAGCATGGCTCCTTGAAAACAAATATTAGTGGTGGCGACTTCAGGGGCTTCCTAACTTGCACTTAAAACATTCCTTTCTAGAGATCCACAGTTTAGTTTAACATCGCTTCTCATAATTGGGAGGCAGACAAAGAGCCCTCCCTCTATCTCTCTTCTCAGGTTGTACCGTTCATTACAACCAAAGCTTTCCTGAAAACTGAAAATCGTCTTAAAAAAAAAAAATAGTCTTCATCGAGACTGTGGAAAACCGTTCTCCAGACACAGCTCTCCTGGATTGCCCTTCCTCACTCCAGCCTTCACTGTCCTTGATCACATCCTCAAACAGGCTTGTGTCAGGGAGGGGATTCGTACATGGAAATGAATGCAGGAAAGATCTGGAAGCCAACCTTCTAGGGCTGGGGGCTCAGCACGGCCCACTGTGCACAGATGCAAGTGAAAATCTCAAAAATGCAGATCTGAAATGATGTGACTTGCCAAAAAAAAAAAAAGAATGGACATGTTAGGAATGAATAATAGTTGGTGCCTTCTGAATATTATGGCGTGTCATTAAAACAGTCACATCTGGGTCCCAGGCCACCACCTTCGTCTACTGTCATCTGTGATCTTCCCAGGCCCCAGTCCCCACGTGAGCATCGAGAGCCTCTCCTGGATGGTCTCTAAGACTTTCCACTGTGGAATGTCACGCCTTAGTGACTCCAGAGACCCAGACTTGCTCATGTTCCCATCACTCCCCACGTCCTCTCAGAAGAGCTCTCTTACCAGAGTTGCCGAGGAGAAAAGTATTGACCGAGCTGTGCAGAGAGAACCGAATTCCACTCATTTGCTGCATAATTTCCCTGTACCTCAGTTTTTCTTATTTGTATAATGTTTCCCAGATGCGTCTTGAGAATATTATGAGGAAAAATAAGTGAGAAAAGGCTTTGGGGGAAAAAGAGAAAATCGTTATTCAAATATGAAGTAAAAATGATGTTTTCATTTAGGCCGCTTTTATAATTTAGTCTGTTCCTTTTCTAGGCTGCCAGTTGAGACTATTTCCTACAGCCTGTATGGTGGGAAGCTGTCAAACAAAGATTTGGTACAGTCAGTAGTCATTTTCCAGCGACACAGAGCAGAGAGTGCAGGTGGATGGGTCGTTTGAAATACCCCTTAAGAGCGTAATTTCCTAACCAACCTCCTATTTCTCCAGACGGAAAGGGCTGCGATCCCCTGTGAGGAGCATGAGTGGGGAGAGGTGGGGAAGTCACACGTATTTTAGTTCCTTCCCAAAAGTGGTGTTTCACTTCATAAAATTATTTATCCTATTCAGTGACAGGTAGAAAAGTAATTTATCTAATATTTCTCTCTATAGGAGAAAGCTAAGCTGTCTGAAAACAGATTTCTGACCTTCCTTAGACTGCAGAGTTCTTGTGAAATAAGACAAATATATTCATTTTTCATCATGTGCTTGTGTTTGAAAATCCTTCAGTACTTTTAACAATGAAGCACTTTATTCTTTTAGCTCTGTGCAACCACAAAACATCTTTTTCAACTTCCCTCCTTCAAAAACTTCTAGAAAAATGTTGGAGAGTATCTTGGAGCCCTTTACTTCTCTTACCTTCATAACACAGGAATCCTCCTTACAGCATCTGACAAGACTTACCGAAAGTCTATTTGAAATTTTCTAGTTACTGGGAACTCAATACCTCAGAAGAAAACCTGTTTATTTGCTTCTCTTCTGGCAGGAAAGTTCTCTTGTATATCAAGCCAGCATTTACCATTTGTTTTCCTCTTGTCTTTATCTTCTGATTCCACGATTTTTTTAAAAAGCCACTGTCGTCAGCACATAGATGTTCCTTCACATATTGAAGGTGACTATAAGAACCCCACCCCCATTTTCTTCCAGTCATGGTATGTCCTCAGGTATTTCTCTGTTCTTCCCATAACAGTTTTCAGATTTTACTAACCTGGTATTTCATTTTACATTTCATACTTTTGAAAATCAGAGAAGAATCTTTTTATTTCCCATGCAAACCTTTTCCAATTTACTCGAAACATTTTAGCAAGCGGGCTGTGTGCATGTTTTGCCTCATTTATCATAAACATGTCTACAAAGAGAAAAGATAAATACTTATCTAAAACTGCTTCTCAGCCTTAATCTCTTAAGTAACAATAAAATATTTCTTCTCTGTCCTTATTTTGTCTCAACTCGCACAGTTCCCCCCGATTGCCTTCTGACATATCTTATCCCTAGAACTAAAATTGTAGAAAATGTTTAATACTCAAACGAGCAATCCTTGTTGCAACTCCAAGCCCTGGATGCCGACCGTGAGGACTGAGGATGCCGCGGAGCCTGCCTGGAGCGGGCGTGATGGCTGCTGTGGGCTCCAGAATTCGGCTGTGCAAATGATAACCGCTTTTCTGCATCAGTACTACCTGATATTTATAAAAAACTACTTGGATCACTTACTAGTTTTCAGAGTAAAAAAAAGCCTGCAAAGGAAATGTAGTTGAAATAGGATTTAAGGAACTGGAATAAAAGCAGATCTGTTTCAACTGGGCAATGCTGAAGAGAATAATTGTGAAGAGCACATGTACACACCCCAAGAGACTCCGCTACGTGGCACCCAATTGTCTGTGAGAGAGGAGAGAGTGTTTCTTAAGAGTTTACAAGTACAGGATGTGACTTGCTATTCAGAAACCATTTTAATCTGGATAATTGTGTAAAAGCAAACTGGGATTAGGAGAGGGAACAGGGAGCAATTGGACAGTAAAAATACATGCTAAAATTACCTTCAGCTATCTATTTTCTGGACTGACTTAGGGGTATTCCTCAAAAGAAAACAGATAATCCAGACTTTAGAGTGCCAGACATTTGCAGAAGGCGAGATTTCCTTATAATGGAATTGTATTGTTAGAATTGCATATATAAACACACCCAACTTCCTCTAGTACCTAAAAAAGGGTAATTAAAACCAGGAATCACAAAGTATACACATCTATTCTTAGATTACAGCTCAATTTATATCATAGATGTCATACGTTAGATTACATACTATGTCAGATTACACAAAAATAAATGGTATTTTGAAAAACATCTTCAACTCCCCCAAAGTATGGCTAAGAAACCACTTGATTTTTTTCCTCTTCTGAAACTGATGCATCTAACCTTGCTGACAGCACGACAGCACCCCTCCACCTCCATCTGCACCGGCGTGGCACCCACCCACACCCTACCTCTGTTTCCCAGCTGACATGTAAGAATTCTTAGGGATTTCTTCAGCTATCATAGCATTTTAGTGCAATTTTTCAATGTATACGTTTATGCTATGACCCATACGAATTGTAATTATTTGTACGTTTTTCCAACAAGTTAGATGGTGATTATAAAACATTGATGATGTGACAAATAAAAATTACCTTCAACTATCTAAAATTATATCTGATATTTATCCCATATTACCTCTACTGAGGCACCTTGATCGAAAAATAAAGCTTCATTTTGATCAAATTAACAAGAAGTTATGAATAAAAATTCAAAACAATCTTCCTTATACCAAATGCATATTGACCAAGGGCATGCAAGGCCATGTTGGTTTCAGGTTTATTGCAAACTCTCTTGTGATTTTATAAATTATTTATTAAATGTTTTCAAACTAAATATAGTATAACTATTAAGAACACCGGCTTTGGATCCTATAGAACATTGGTTTGAATTCTGGAATTCCCACTTTCTTCCATTACTTATCATTATTCCTTTGCAAAAGGCAACTAATACTTATGTTCTAAGCTCTATGCTGAGAATTACATAGGAAAAAATGTTTATAACTTGCTTAGAAAAAAGTATAAAGTTGATAAATATCATCTATTCTTCTTGCTATTATTATGAAGTATTTATAATCTTATAGGATACATTTAACTGTATGTAGGTCCCTCATTCTTCTAGGGAAAATATAATTGAAAAAATGTTAACCCTAGAAACAGACAAACAACAGCCATCAGTGCCAAGGTCCTGGGAAGCCCCTGAATTTCACCGATCTGTATTGGAAATGGGTACCTTTGTCATTGCTTTATTTTTATTTAGGATCAGCTTATTCCCTTATATAAGAAAAAGGCGTTCTTTAAATGTTTATTTTCCCAAATAGCTATCCAAAACAAAGAGATTAATGAAGTCACAATCCTTTCACATTTCATTAAATTACATAAACGCCTAGCAAACATTGATGTGGACCACACAAGCTGTGTTTCTGATCTGGCTTCCCTCCTACTCCTAACCTCCTACTCCCAACTACAGCGTATTATGTCTGATCTATGTCGGGTGTTTCCGGGCTTTCAGACAGTGAGATTTTTAATGCATTCGGTGTGAGTCACAAATGTCCATTTCTGCTTGTTCTGTGCTGCTTATATCCGGAGCTCTAAGTAGCGGTTTGCTAACCCCCTGCTGGGCCGTCACTGTAAGGTCCTTAGCGCCATCTAGTGTCCGAGGGAGGCGTGGCTGCAGGCTCCACGCTGGGGCACTGACCCCAGCACCTTGCATATTGCAGTAAAAGACTCCAGGACGGCGTAGCAACAGGGTCAAGTACTTCTCTCACTTTATATGTCGCTGGACTTTGAAAACTTCAGTACTTCCCTAAATCCACTGTTGTTCAAATGAGCTACATCAAATTAAACGCCAAAATACCTTTTGCATTTTATTAAAGGCTCAATCAAACGCCGATTTTGCTTTTCTGCGAAGAATTTCTTTGCTACGTTTTTATCACTCGCAGCTGCTATTGTGTGACTATGCTTTCTCGAAAGGAGGGTTTTCTTACGATCGGCTTGAAACCACAGCATGCTTCTCGCCGCACATATGTCCTTTATTGCAGTCAGAAGTGTTCCCATCCCTCCATATTTTTCATTCTTCTCTTTTTTCAGATTGTCTACAAAGCCTGGCTCTGTTCCCAGTATTTTGAAGTCACACAATTTAACTGCAGAAAGACAATTCCATGCAAGCAATACTGTTTGGAGGTTCAGACGAGGTGTCCGTTTATATTGCCCGACAACGATGAAGTCATCTACGGAGGCCTCTCCAGCTTCATCTGCACAGGTACAGTGCGGCAGCGCGGGGCGGGACCGTGTCCGGGAGTCTCTTGCGGTTTTGCTTTCTTCCGTGGTGTCTGCTTTGCTGTTTCCTTCACTGACAACCTCGAAGATGCAGCTGGTAGTTTTCCACGCTTTCATTAATAGAAGCGCTGCAAGCAGCCCTACACTGGTTTGCAAATGATTCAGCTTTGATGCCACAGTGTCCATACCAGAACCAAGATGACAATGATTAACTTTATAGAAGGATCATTCTGAGGGCAAAATATTAACAATCATCGGATATACATACATGTGACTTAAAGTAGGTTGGATTCTGCCTGTAGTATCTTTCCATTACATAAGAACAGATGGTGTGATCAGGCCAGTAAAATTATGTTTCTTCAAATTAGTAACAAGTTTATGTCCCCATGCCTATTTTCTGACAATTTTTATGTCATTTTATGTTCAAAAAGTATTAAAAGTACACAGAAGTATCTGCCAAAGTCGTGTGTGTGTGTGTGTGTGTGTGTGTGTGTGTTTGCATTAGAGCCACACAGCACGAACCAGACACAATTCTATCTTACATTTTCCATTAACGATGTTTACTTCTTTCAGCAAAAGACAACGATTGGGCAAAACACCAGTATCAGCCCTCATTTTCTGAATATTTATAAGCATTACATAATTTAGACACAAAATAAGATATAAAGGATAAGAGTAGTTCTGTTTTTTAAAATAAACAATAAATAGACAGTGAGAACAAGATACTTTGCCAGGGTGGTGTGATAATCAGAGTTGTTGCTCTATATTCTCTTTTAATAAAAATAATACTACACGATATCCTTGTAACTATGTGGCTTTAGTTGTAACATGTTTAGTTTTCAAGTTTTAAGGATAAAACACTATCATAAGTATGGAGAAACAAGAACATTCACATCTTACATTAGACTTCATGAAACTCCTCTAAACCAGAGTGACATACTGAGATGCTCAACATGAGAATTTATCAAATCATTTTCTAGATCACTTATTTAAATACATACCCATTAGCCATACTGTTCCAAGTCTAAATGATTAAGCTATCCAAAGAGAATTCACCAAAGTTCTTTCCTCAGAGCCCACCCTAAAATAACTGGAGGAATATTTCTTACTCTGTCCAAGATTATGGGGAGATCTGACTGAAAGTTAGGAGACACGGGATTTCGTTTGGTTTCCATTATGCATTCTGTCCAAGGCACCGTATCTCCACTAGCAAACTAGTAGCAATAACACACACAGCATGTTGACTTGCTATGAGGATTACAAACAAGGGAGAAGCACAAGGTACATCATTAACAGATGACAGCCATGGTACACAGAAAGTTATCCATGAAATGTAAAATGATTTAACAATCATTTTTATTATTCTACTGATTTTATTCTTAGATCATTTTTCATGTAGCTTCTCTCTGCTGCAGGAAAAAGAAAGAGAAAGAGAGGAAAGATGAACAGAAGGAAGGATGGGAAGGGAGGAGGGAGGGAGGGAGGAAATGAATATCTTCTTGCTTTGGGTCTGAGACATGCTATTAATTTATCTTGAATTTCACATAGAACCTTTCATAAATAACTGGAAAGATACAGGCTTAAGTTTTTGACTGTGGATCAGTCAGATGCCTGTGATACTAGCACTTCAGAGAAACTCGTGGAATTTTATGGGAAGGTTGTGTTTGCTCATTCACATGTATGTTGCTTTTTACCCAGAGAAGATCAATAGCTTTCACCAGGTCCTCAAAATAGACAAAAAAGCCAAATCAAGGGCAAATTATTATTTGTCTTTATCTTCTATTTTTTTTCTTGGCCTCTGTCTGTATTTGTCAATCTGAAATAAATGTTTGAATGTCCATCCCCTTTCTCCAAACACTTTCAAGGCCACCAGAACGTTAAAGATAGGGTTAAATCTCTTTGTGCACAACATGGGCAGAGAATCTAAGTTGTATTTTTCATTGTTTTTGAGTTAAGTAAAAACAGCTTCTTCATAGCTATAGCTACATTATTAAGAAAAAGTGGGAGGAAAAGAGATTTGTCATCAGGTGCAGAGAAAAACGCCATCTCCGTTAGAGGCCTTCTGGGATAATCTCATCACTCAACATTTAGAAACCTTACTGTTCTTATGCCACTTTTGGTTGGGCTCATGGTCATTTCATTACTAAAATGCTCAAAATGTGCAAAATAATTTCTAAAGGCAGTTTTCTCTGAATTCTGCAAAATTACTTGAAGAAAAAGATATTTTTCAGAGTAATCTTCTTTTTTAAGGTGTGACCCAGGCCCCTTTGAAGACTCTTACCTATGTTGGTAACTGGTAGAGACCATCTCCCGCCCGGGTCATCAGTGCTCCCTAAGTGTGTACTGCTCGGCCTGAACAGAGCTATTTCCACTGCTGCTCTCACTGCTGCCTCACCCCTGCCGAAGACAGTCCCAGACATGGCCCCAGTATAGTGTCCATCATGGAAGAAGTTAGCACAGAAAGCAGCCCCAGGACCACTGGTTAAATGATGGAGCCCAGTGGCTTGTCATGCTTCTAGAGTAACTAGTGAGACTACCACATGTGTATAGCATTTGTTCCCAAACTTTTTAAGTCCTACGTTTTTGGAGGCTCATCTCCAAAAAGTGCATTTTCAAATAATTTACCTTTTAAATAAGTTTGGAGGGAATATGAGCCCTCTCAGGTACCTTTATGCATTCTGAGTGAAATGTCTCCTGTACTCAGGAAGGACCAGAATAAATACAGAAGAGAAATAGGGTCATTTTTCCTAGTTTCCCAGCTGGCAGCCGATAACCTAAGGCCACCCAGGTGACAAGCGCATGGCGATGTTGCATGTCCACAAGGAGGACCAAACCTGCTGTATTTCCTCCTCACTGAATTATGCGCAGTGACGATCACTCAGCGCAGTTCTATAAAAGGAATCCCCAGGGAAACTGACCCGAATCTTGCCTCCAGTAATTCCTCTCTTAAAAAAAATAGTTTTGTTTTCATTCTAGATGCTAAAATATGTAATCATTTATCATGAA